TGCTTCATCAAAGCATGCTAAGCTAAGCTACACGAGCAAGACAGAAGGCAACCGTCCAACACAGTGACATGGAGAAGGTTCAGGCTCGAGGCATGTGTCGCACATTTAAGGCCCGTGCAACTCAGTTCCAGTGAATCCACCGGCATCACCTGCGACTGCGATAATGTCTCTACTCAAGAGAGCAGTCCAGAGACACGGAGAGTCAAGAAAGTCCAGTCAAGAGAACCAGGCAAGACCGAGGCCCAGGCGCTCCAGAAGCTGAAGCTTCCAGAACTTGCAGGCAGAGAATGCAGGTGCCGGCAATGCAGTGGGTTTCTGGCTGCCTCAGGTGCTGCACAACATTGATTACTCTTGCTTGACCCCTAGAAAGACTTCTTTGGAACACAGGCTGAGCACAGGCGAACCTAGCCTAATCAGCATCACTCGTCACTCAACCACTGACACCTGACACCACTGAGATTCTCACCTGGACGACGATGCACTGGAAGTTTCAGAATCAGTCAGCACCTTCCACCAATCCCTGTTGCTGGCAGTGGGCACCCCACTCCGTCTAAGCGAAGCCAAGACGTCTCCGTGCATCTCTGTGAACTTGTCCACAACATCTGTACCCGAACACGCATGCAACACTTGCCGTGCACAGCTGCGGTGCCACCCTCGCAAGCAGAAGGGGCACTGGACAGTGGCTTCGGTGGCTTTCCGGCACAACGTGCATTTGCGAAAATCTTCATCCATGACACTGCCAGGCAAAGCAAGATCCTGCACATCAGTGCAGCAATCGGTAGCTAGTAGGTAGCTAGGCTAGACAAGAAGTGCTTTGTCTACAGGAGCCTACACCCCGAACGGACCCCTACCCAATCCACCCAGGTTCCAGGCCCCATCCTGACCCTGGCCCTGCCAGCCTGCCGGCCTACGGCCTACGGCCTGCAACATTGCAAATCAAAACATTGTCAAAACATAGACCAGCAGGACATGCGACATATGCATGCAGCAGACATCAGACATCAGACATCAGCCGCTGCTTGTCAAGAAGACGACTACCACTTGACTGTCTGACCTGGCCTATCCCGCCCCGGCCCCACCCCCGTCCATCCGTGGTCACAGGCCACAGGGGCTGACATGCAGGCTTGCCGGCTTGCAGGCAGAGAGCACAGCAACAAGGCAGAGTGCAATGCAGTGGGGCAATCTCAGCAAATTAAAGTGAGTTTCAAACAGTTAACACACAAGCAAACCAGAACAAAGGCTTCGGACTTTTGAACGGACACAACTGCAACGGCCTACATCCTTCATAGAAGCTTCTGCACGAGAGCACCAGCATCGCATCGACACACAGTGTGACACACATTACACACATTAAGGCTCATCCACAACCGCCGCAGAGATCAGCACCCGGCCTAGCAGGATTGACATGCATGTGAACTGTCCGAGGTAATTGCTGAGACGGCATATGCACAAACAGACAAGACATTGCCTAAGCAGAGAGCCAATGGAAAATTACTCCTCCGTCGCCAGCGATGCAGAAGTCTGCTTGGCATCATGGGAAGCAATGTTGGAAGCCATGACATCGCAAAGGGATTTCAATCGTCGGAAATGCGATGGCACCTTGTCTCTGTAAGGATCGTTTTTCTTCAGCTTCTTCACGCAAGCACCCACGTATGGCAGAAGCACATCAGCATGGTCTGCATCCAGGCAGAGTTCAGGAAATCCCATGCCCGAGCTTACACCTGTGCGAGCCATGCTTGAGTCCGGTGTGGAGAAAACAACCTTGTGTTCATCGTCCAGGAGAACCTGCCTGCCGATACGCCGTGCCAAGGGACGCCTAGGATGGCTAGGATGGTGCATGCATGCAAGCTGCAAGCCGTCACTACCGACTGACAGACATCTACATGAACCAATGAACGACCTCACTAACACTGAGTACCTGTCGCCGCCTGTCACCCACGTTGCATCTACATTTTTCACTCTACACTAACATGCTATGCTATGCAGCCATGAAAAAAACAACCAGGACAAATCGCAGACGGCACCGGGCACAGGCTGCATGCAGCAACAACACGTTGCACAAGAAGCGATGCTGCCATATATGCCATCAAGCAACTTGCTTGCAGTGTTGTACACCCAGTGAGCCCACATGATCTCTTGGGAGCTATCGCTGAACTTGCATCGAACACATTTGCAACCAGGAACTGGATCCTGTCCCCGAAGCATCACGAGGCTTATGCTGCGATCTCGGCCTGGCTCGAATTCCTTCACGTTGGAGAATTCTTTACAAGCAAGTAGCATCTGCGAGCATGAAGCAGCCCATTTAGCAAACACCTGCCCAGGCACCTCACCACGACTAGCAGCACCGCCAAATTCGTCCACCAAAGTAGCAACCCTGGCTCGGAATGAATCGTCTGCCTCATCAAAGTCTGCTTCTGACTCCGTCTCGGAATTATTACTGGGGATTTGTTCTTCTTCTGCGATGTCTCGGAGGGCACTCTGAAACACAGGGTCTCCCCGACCACCTGTTTCCAGCAAATGATCTGGCCTCCCACGGGCAGAGCCTGCTGCCAAGGACTTGTTTTGCTGCGACATGGCCCGCCTCACCAACAAAAGAAGCGCTTCTTCTTCCAGGTCACCGGGGGGGGTCAGCTGGGCCTGTGCACCAAGTCGCTCTGCTGTTTCTCGTACCATGTCTGAGGATGGAATACCTGCTGCTTTCGACGGACCTGCTGCACCTGCTGCCACGGTTGCTTTCTTTATCTCAGCAGCAGGCAAGTCTGCTGCAGTGTCTTCGGCAAAAAGGCTAACATCTGAGTCGGACTGGTATTCTTCCTCATCTAACAGATTGCGATCATCCTGCAAGTACCTGTCTAAGGCATCTGGTGCCACATCCGATCCCTCAGTTCCATGCTCACTTCCATCTTCCAGCTCCTGATGTTGCCGTTTCGCCGAGGCAGATGACGACTTCGCCTTGCTTTTGGCTCTCCCCTTCGCCTTGCCTCGTGTGGCTTTGGCCTTTGCTCTCTTCTGGCCGCGACGGCTAGATGGTTTCGCACTTGAGGGACCCGGGCGAGGCAGCTCATCTTGTGTCATCACAAAACAAGGTTTCAGGTTCTCCAGAACAGACTCCACCCGAACCACATCTCCTCCCTGCACCGTCCCCGTCATAATCCTTTGTGCTTGATCCGGCGATAACACAACATAGCCGACATTGACAGGTTTGCCAAGGTCGAAACACTCTGCATAGAAGGTGGTCATCAGCAAAGTGGACTCTATGCAATTGTGCTCCTGGTAGTTCCACCTGAGGCAATGCCCGCCTTCCTGTTGCATGACATCGATCCTTGTGAACATGGCACTGACAGAGAACTTCTCGGCCACGGCATAGACAAGTGTGTCTCGGACCTGATGCAGTACATCCTTGTCGGTGCCGCTGCTCTGGAAAACTGCCAGCAGCATGCCACGTGGGGATTGAGATTGAGCGGTAGAAGCTTCCGTGTCCTGTGTGGTCTTGTTTTTCTTCTTGCGGTTTCCAGATACGGCAGCGGTGGCCCGCCTCCATCCCAAGTTGTATGATTTCGCCCAAGCGATGGCATCCGGTGTGGTCATGGTGCGGAAGAACTCTGCCTGTGACTGTGGAGTGTTTCGCCCAACCTCGCTCTCTGGTTGCACTCCGTCCGACCCCTCGGGAGTTTGAAGACATGGCGGGTCTGCAATGGAAGCAACGGCAGGCAATGCAGGCAAACTCAACGAAGACACATCAGTTCTAGTCGACTTCACGGCTTGCACATCCGAGATTGTCAGTATAACAGCACCGCCCTCCCCCTGTTGCCTGCACTCTACGGGTAGTGGCACAGACCAGCGGGACCTGCAACTCAAGATGGCCAATGCGGCAGTGTTGTAGCCCAGAATGGTTCTTAAGAGACCTTCGGCGGAGCTTCGGATCTTCGACCATTTCTTGCTGCGACGCATACTCCCGTCCTCGCTCAAGGCTCGTTTGATGGCCAATCGAGCAGATAAGAGCTCCAGGGAAATGTTCGGGCATCGTCGGCCAACCAACTTGATCACACTATTGATCCCCTCTATGGCCTGTGTATCAACTGGCTGCATTCGGGCGAGTGATTTCAAGAAAGCATACAAAAAACTTCCCGACTCCGAGGTCACATCGGAAAACGTCCCGTTCTCTGCCATGTGTCGAAGCTCCCGGTCGCACAGGATCCGGAGTTTCCGTGTAGAGGGATCAAGTTGTTCCGCCTGCGATCCCAAGAGCTCACGTGCGACATCTTTGCGTTTTTGCGAGAACTGTTTGGGGGCTGCCTTGATCAGCCAAAACAATTTCCATGGGAACTGTTCCAGGGGCCGTATGATGCGTCTGCGGAATGCAGCCCAGTGCATCAGCAGAATGCGAAGGGCAATGTATCTCATGTGCACAACATCAGAGTCAGACAGGCCACCTTCACTTCGCAAACAGCCAGACAAAGACATTGCTTGGGAAACTATTCCAGGCAAATTTTCAAAGAGCACTTGAAACTCTTTCGTGATCTGTTCCAGCTTCCCCGTCACAAGGTTGAACATGCACTGACCGTCGCGAGCTCCCTTCTGTACGAACAGCATGAAATGTCTCAATGGTGCTCGCAGGGTGCGGCACAAATACATCAGGCACCAGAATATACACGAGGTAATCGCCTTCATAGAACCGGAACACCACTTGCTAAGCCTGATCCTATAAGCCGCCTTGCTGTCTGCCTCGTCTTCCTCAATTGTGCCCTCGTCTTTTCCGTCCCCTGAAAGGGCAAGATCAACCGGTGACCAAACCCAAACCAAACAAAATCCTATGTGGCTTACTATGTGGCAGGGAACCCTGTTCTTAGCACCATCCTACATTACCTCCCGGACTAGGCCGGCCTGTCGCAGGAACGGACTCGCGGTCTGCCTTCATGCTCCGGGACAGCACTTGCAGCATGCACGGCTCCACCAGTGATCGGCCCCGCTCTAGGAAAAATTCTTCGGCCGTTTCCACAGACCCCCACCGCCCCGACGAGACAGATAGCGGGTATCGTCTGCCCATGTCCTGGATTTTTGAGTCTGCTGACTGCCCATGCTGGTCGTCCCAGGCTTGCATCATGTCAGCAGCCTTTTCACGCCACAGGTTTACTAATTTAGCAAGACTGGCATAGTAACCTGTAAAGCCCTTCAATGTTTCCACACTGAAGGTCTCCCCAATGAGTTGATCCACAAGTTCCAGACCCCCGCGAACAGCAGCATGAAAGACATGGAGATAGCAGTCCGAAGGAATATAGATGACTTGAGACAGTGTCTCGACATGTGAAGCCGTTCTCTTCCTCCTAGCAAGCTGGTCGGAGCCCCGGTCGGTTGTGTCGAGGTACACAATGATCGAAGGGCTAGTGCTCAGTGAGGAATCCCTGACATGCAGTGACATGCAATTTCATGTGGACTCATCGGTCAGTTGGTCAGTTGGCCTACTGATTGGATGGCCTTTGTCCTTTGTCACTAGGGCCGGCCGACATGACATGACATGACAAGAAGCACATGTTGCTCACAGGCTAACAGCGACTAACATCTTGGGTTTCTGTTCTAGGATCTCGAATCTTCACGAACTCTGCAAAAGCAAGCAGGCAATAGCCTAATAGCAGGCAAGCTGGCAGGGCAATGTGCTGCATGCAATGCAAAATCCTTGGTCCCATAGGTCCCATAGGGCCCATAGGGTGCAGGGTAGCTTAGGAGACTTGCCGTATAATGACTGCCGGGCCGACAAAACAAAACATAAGCCAGTCTCAGTCCAGCTTCTCCCTATCAAGCTCTGCAACAATGTCGGACACCGATGGCACTCCGATGGAATTCAGCTGCTTCTGCAGAATGCCAGCACAATGCTCTGCAGTGCAGCCAGAAACAACTTGCAAATCTGACCTTGATGCAGATTTCGGCAGACCACTGCAGCTACACGTGACCCTGGAACTTTAAGTCATCAGATGAATGGGAAGGGCCCGCCCGATACCTCTACAGACAATCACGGCATAATGTAGAAATACGTGACTTGCACACCCAGCCCCAGCCCAGCCCCTGCTAAGGTTAAGGCTCGCAGCCGATTCACGAACCTAGCAACTAACTCTAGCAACTAGAAAGACACATGATCAGCAGTCCCTGAGTCCCTGAATACATGCCTGATCATGATGCCGGTGTTCTGGGGACCCTGCAGACACCTTCTAACATTCAGGAATTCGTCGCAGGACTTCGGAAAATCTTTCACTGAAGATTGTACCAACCCGATCTCGGCTTCCGTGACATGCAGCTTTTCCCTTCGCCAGATAGAGGAATTCGTGGCGTCTGCTCGAACACTGATGAACAACAGGTGCCAACGCCCTGCAACATAAGCAATATCCCTCAAGTTTTCACCGTCTGCACCAACATCAATGCCTGCATCAAACTCGCTGGATTCTCGAAGCAGGGACATGGCGGTGCTCACATGGTCTCTCATGCTGGCCACCAAAGCCGCACCTGTTCTAACCTCTGCACGCAAGACAGTTGAACCGCTGAGGTCTTGCATCAAAAGAGCACCGAAGTCTGCAGCTGCCACATGTGCAATGTTGCGACGGATTCCCAATGCCAGTGTGGCCTGTGCTGTCAACCTTTTCCCTGAAGGCTTGGTGCTCAGCACAAGGGAGGAGTCGGTCTCCTTGGCACGTTGCACGTCCTCCAACTTCTTAGCTGATCGAGATTTTTGCAAGCCCGCAACTTTGATAGCTGACCGCTTCTGTTTGTTCGCGGCTACGAGCAGGTTCGACACCTTCAACAATGCTGCTGATGCCTGAGCTCCAACAACAGCCGCACGAGCATGTGTCATACCCAGGTAGTCTTGCTGCGATAACGACACCAATTGGTCTCGGCTAATCTTGCCACTGTGCCATCGCGATGCATTCTGCACAACCAACTGCGAGCTCTCTTCATTTTCAGGAACAGCAACGAGCTG